AGTTTAGAATTACTAAGTGGATAAACTTTCACCTACACCTTCTACCCCATCATAACTAGGCTGAGTTCTCCTTCCCTCACCAAGTCTTGAATGACTGAATGTCCAGGAATTGGTACTTGAATCCTCCCTAGTTTGTAGAGATAACCGTAGAATTGAGTTTAAATCAGACAGACATTCTTGTGTTCCTTTTTGTAAATTGGACAAGACAGCTGTATATTAAGATTCTTAGTGTTCAGCTTCAGAACTCTGAGCAAACCTTTGGTCAGAGGTACCTATCCTCAAAAGGGAACTGCACCAGCCTTGCTCTTTATAGCTAAATCTTGTAAAATTGACAGTAAAGAATCACTATATATCAATAGTGCTAGAGGTTTAAAATAAATATGCAAATATTTAATTTTAAAATACTGGCTCTCTTCTTCTTCCCTCCCTGCTTTTTAGCCCATTTAATCTGCGGATAGATAGTTTTCAGTGACAGGATGAATGGTTATACTCTGCCTCCTTGAAATCAAACATTCCCAACTATCCAGTCAGTATTTCAACCATATTCTAATAATTCTTCCTTCTGTTGCGGTATTGGCAGTTTACTTGGAGGTGTGGTCTCCTGTCTTTTCATAGTACATCTTTGTAGACAGTAACACCTGATTATTGTTACATCAACCTTTATTCAATGTGCCATTTTAAAAATAGTCTTCTTTCAGTTCCCAGAAGCCACGGTTAACTCGTATTCCTATGCCCCCATTTCTAATGAACAAGGAGCAACCAGAAGAGAAGAAGATTCCCAAAGGAGTTACTTTGCAGTTTGATATCAACAGTGTTGGAAAACAGGTAAAAGCTGTTTCCTAACCCTTACTTGGCGTGATTCAACATTATAAATAAAAGAGGTGTGGGGCTCCTTGTTAATAGACTTGTCTCGGGCTAAAGTAGGGGACTTGTACTTAGGCTTATTGATTCTGCTTTCAGTTTTGGCATTAGTTTGCTGTGTTACTCTGGACAAGTACCTAACCTCCGTGGTCCTCCTATTAAAAAATCTGTTATGCCTATCTACCTCCCATAGGATTTAAAGCTTAATAGTTGTGTAGCATTGTGATGTTCCTGGATGAAGGGCACTATATTCCTAAATTGAGAAGACAACAGGGAACATCTCCTCCCCCCGCCCCCCTGGTCATGTCTTCTGCACAGCACAGATGGCTCAATCTGATTAATTCAACTTCAGATGAGGATTGAAAACAATGACTCTTCAGAAACTTTTTTGCATATGTATAAAATTGAAGAAAATCTCCTTGGAAATTTAGTTACTGTTTTTTGTTTATGTGCAGTGCCATGGCTCCTGAGTCTACGGCAGAGGTGGGCAAACTACGGCCCGCGGGCCACATCCGGCCCATGGGACCATCTTGCCTGGCCCTTGAGCTCCCGGCCGGGGGGGCTAGCCCCCAGCCCCTTCCTTGCTGTCCCCCCTCCCCTGCAGCCTCAGCTCGCTGTGCCGTCAGCACTTTGGCGGCATGGCTGGCTCTGGCCGGGTGGCACGACTGCCACACGTGCTGCTCTGAGCGGCATGGTAAGGGGGCAGGGAGTTCTGGGGAGTAGTCAGGGGACAGGGAGCAAGGGGCGGATGGGGTGGAGGTTCTGGGGTCGGGGCGGTCAGGGAATGGGGAACAGGGGGAGGCTGGATAGGTGTGGGAGTCCCTGGGGGCCTGTTGGGGGCAGGGGTGTGGATAGAGGTCAGGGGACAGCGAGAAGAGAGGGTTGGATAGGCGGTGGGGTTCCGGGGGGGGGGGGGGGTTAGGGGCAGGAGGTCCCGCGAGAGGGCAGTCAGAGGACAAGGAGCAGGGTGGGTTGGATGAGTGAGGGATTCTGAGGGGGGAAATGGGAAGGGGTGGATGGGGGCAAGGGCCAAGCTGTTTGGGGAGGCACAGCCTTCCCTACCCAGCTTTCCATACAGTTTTGGAACCCCGATGTGGCCCTCAGGTGAAAAAGTTTGCCCACCCCGGTCTACAGAGTGGAGCACATCAAAATCTGACATTTTGGGAAAACAAAATTGTGCCATTTTATGGCTTCAGAATTTGGGCTTTTTGTATCTAACAAATTTGCTAGACTGAATTACATCACTCTAAAGTTATGCAACAGCTGTGTCTTAAGTGAAAAGGAAAACTAAATAAGGGGTGGGGGTGAGGAATGACATTCAGAATATCAGGAAATACAAAAGTACAAGTTCAGACTGGTGGTAACTCGTCAATGTCACAGGTGGTGAAACTAAAATCATACTGGGACAATACCCCATAAAAATGTCGTTGTTGTGTTGTATGACTTTCAGTGATTCCAGATCAAATCTTGCTTTGTGGGAATCGCATGTAATGAATATTGCAAGTGTTCTTGTGAACAAAGTGCAATAAGTGAATTGTTAGCTAGAATAGAATCCAGTTTGCTCTCTCAACTGTGTGGAGTCTGAAAACAACAGGAGTGTAAAATAGTAAAAACCTGTATTAGTCACTGAAGTTCGCAGATGTAATTTAATATGTATGGAGAACAGATCTGTGTAGTAAAAGTTCTGTTTTCAGCTTTACTGACCTGCATTAATGTTCTTGAATCTCATATAAATAGAGTTAATATATTCTACTCATCTTTTTTTAAATACTGCAAAAGAAGGAAAACAAGATAAATTAATCTTCAGTATTTGTTTCCATACAACCCTTAGATGCCTGTTTCAGTATGGATGAAAAAAAATCTGATTGAGCAGAACTAGGCAGGGGTGATACTCATTGTCCTAACTTTGGTATTGTAACAGATCAGTCTGATATTTTGCAAGCTCTATTATGAAATGATTTTGTTTTACAGACTGGAATGACTTTGAATGAGCGCTTTGGGATCCTCAAGGAACAAAGAACAGCCCTGTCTCAGAACAAAGGAAGCCGTTTCGTAACAGTGGGTTAGAGGCTGTGGAAAGGACACATATATAAAGACTCCACCGATCTGAGAAACTGGGATGAAAGTGGTCAGAAGAGTATAGCATACGTCACTGAAGTTCTCCAGACTTTTTGTTAGGATGCTGACACAACTAAATATCCTTATTGATTTTACTTTTAATAGTAAAAAGACACAATGACTTAGGCAAAAATGGGGCAACTGATCGGCTTGGTAAGTGGTGTTGTGTTCTGATCTGAACAGATTTTGTGTAACCCCAGCTGGTGATCAAGGCAATAGACTTATTTCAGTTCCCCTCACAGCCCAAGTACAAATGGCAGGCAAAAGTTAACGATTTTTGTTAGTGACATTCAGTATCTGCTCCTCAAATCCTGCTATAGTGAAGATTGTGTCAACATTTCCATTACAAACCTCTCTTTTCAGAGGGGCACAGAGTCTGCCAGAAAGCTTCCCTCCAGATTGCAGTTTGGCATAAAGCCTGAGTGTGAGTATTTCTGTTCAAGACATAGCTGCCTCCTTTTCCTTCATAGGGGTTTGGTTGTAATTCTTTGTGCTTTTGACACAAGTTGTTTTTTTTTTTTTTCCCCTTGGAGATTAAATTTTTTGCATCGTCGTTTGAAAAAGTAAAACCACTGTCAGAGAGGCCAGATACTTAACAGGCATGAAGACTATACTACTCATCCTTAAAAGTGGTCCCTCAAAGTCAGGGTTGGGCAGTGTGGGAGAAGCTTGTACTGCAGCTGTTCATATTGTATCTGCCTCCTCAGTAAATGGAACTTTCTCTTGCATTTTGTTTAAACTCTACCCTTCTGTTCCTTTGTTAGGTTTTCACAAATTTAATGCAATATTTTTGTTTGGTGTCTCTTTTATAAGGGTAAATACTGACTTTCATATAAGAAAGGGTAACAAGCTTGGTTTCCTAACCCTCCCAGACTCTGGGTTTTAATGTCATATACCTTGCCCCTAAATGGTTTTCTCAGTCTTTTAAGAAGTAGCCACACAGATAAACTATCAAATGGCACCTGTTTGTATATACCAAAGAGAAATCCAGGATTAGCCTGATCTGAAATAAAGTCAAATATCTTGACTGCCATTGAAGCTGGGGAAAAATTGCTGGGAGAAGAGGCCTACATTTTGCAGAGACTTAAGCACATGCTCAACTTTATGTACATGAGTAATCCCACTAGCTTCAATGAGACTGCTAGCATGCGTAAAAGCTAGGCATGTGCATAATTATCTGTAGGATGATGGCCAAATTGGAGCATCCTCATTGTGCATTCACACCCTTAAGGGAAACAAAGCACCTGTTCAAAATTGTACAGGTAAAATTACCTTTAATTCCATAAACTAGTGGATTTTCAATTGTTTCATAGCAATGGGACTTGGATATAGCCAGATAAAAGGAATTGTTGGCTTGCTGCATCCACAAATGTCTATGGTGCAAAGTAGTTTTAATACTCTTGCTTGGAAGACTATGGATTCAATTATTTAAAAGTGGTTTCTTTGCACTTTTTCTGAAATTCCGAGTAAACATGTTGTTTACCCAAGAGTTTAACATTGAGAGCATTTGACAGTGGAAGGGCTTTCTTTCATGTAGCAGTTTTAAAGTCAAAATACATCTTTGACACTGTTCAGTACTTAACCCTTTATTTTTAACTTTGAAAACGTACCTAGCAAAAATTTCATTAAACTTCATGAATGTTAAGGTTTTTTAAATTACCAGTAGAAATTTTGTTGAAAAAAGTCCTTCTGTTAGAATTTAGGTAATGTGGTATTAGTCATCCTGTTTCAGTGCATACATTTCCTGTGTACCAGGATACAACAAAGATGCAAAACATTGATGCAATGCATCATGAAAAGCTAGTTTGTATTTAATGAGAAAGATGGCTTTACACTGTACCTTTTGATATTTTTTTGGAGAAGTTACTACATTTGGATCTATTCTGAAGTTTGTTGGTTTTTTAAAATAAAATGTTACAGGTTTCACATTTTGTGCCTGCTTATAAACCTTTGGCCAGTACATTGATAAATTATGCAGATTTTGAATATCACACAAAGGAGAATTCAGTACTGTTACCTGTAGCTCTTAAATGTTTCAAGAAACATACAGAAGGTTAACATAAAGAAATCTGCACTCTTGAGTCAGCCTACGTCCTGAGCTGTGACAAGCGCTTCTTGCTGCTGTATGGTATGAACTCTGAATTTCATTTGATGAATATGTTAATTAAAACTGACATTTGAGCCTTCTATTAGCAAGTACTATCTACCTGAAAAGTGATGTAGTCTGTGACACACTGCCAGTTGAAGATCCATCTGCACATAAACCACTTTTCATGTTGCTTTAGTATCATTCACTCACTAATCAGAAGATAAACTTTAATCTAAACCAGCATTACAGGATCAGCATGTTTGTCCCTGACAGATTCCCATTCAGTCTCAAATGAGGTCACTTTTCAGTGAGATGCCAGCAAGAGCTTAAATTTGCAGTAAAACTGCCACTTCTAATTCCTGCTGTAGACAAAACATAGCCTTTAGATAGGGTTGATAAAATTTCAACTGTAGTGAGTACTTGGCCAAGCCCCTGGATTATCTAAATACCCTGCTTTACCATTACCAGCTAAGGCCTGAATGATGAGCTTGCTCAGATATTATCTGAGGAGACACATGCATTGGCTTTTATTGCAAAGTAGCATATCTGTCCTTCCTGAAAGATCAAGGTGAGCTCTTGGGCAGACACATCAAATTATAGTGATGAAATGAGTCATTTATTTTTGACTTATGACTGGGATAGACCTTAAAGGAAAAAAGTGTTTTAAAGGGTTGCCACTTATCCCTAGTTCACAAAGAAACACACCTTATTCACATTCAGAATTCCCACCAATAGAAGCAGGCTGGGAGGATGTGGTGACATCCTGGGAGGATGTAGTTGAGTAACCTTATCCAATGCCTTTGCCTCACCTGAACTGCCTTCCCCCCTTATTTTTTTGAAGCTTGTGGACCAAATATCATTAGATCAGTGGAAGAAGTTACTTGCAGATACCTATAGGTGCTAAACAAGTATGTGTTGAAACTTATCCTCTGGTGTTTTTTTTTTTTTTTTGAAGGGCTAGAATGACTGTGAACATTGGATTTGAACATTGATAGAGCAAAGGTTTAGGATTTGCATCAAACTAACACCTGTTGCTTTTCTGTGTTAAAACCTGGGCAGAAATCTTTGCCTGTGAAAAAAGGGATATGTAATCATTTCTCCAGTACAGAGTTGCATTAAATTTGTAATTCCAAAAATAACTGCAGCCATATAAGGACAGTGAGTTTTGTAGTGTTTGGGAGTTAACGTGCCAGAGGCAAAGAATCTTGTAGCAAAATCCCTGCTCCTGATCCATAGCCTGAGAGAGCAGCCTAGTGCAAAACCTAGGGTCTCTGAGATTGCATGTTCATATCTAAGAACTATAGAAGACCTGCAGATGCATATTGGCATAAAAACACTAGGACATAATCTCAACTATTGTAAACCAGCAGAGCTCTGCTCGTTCCAGTGGAGCTGTACCTGTTTATACTTGAGAATCTAGCCCATGACTCAGAAATACTTTCTGTGGCCTAAATCTATACGAAACCTCATTGTTAAATCAGTGTACTCTCAGCACATCTCTATGCTATGGACATTACAGCTGCAGCTATGCTAGTATAGCACCCTCGTGAAAAGGCTTTCTAGATTGGCGGAACAACCCTTTCCATTTATGTAGGTAACCCCTTCGGCAAAGGGCAGCGGCTGCCTTACTGGAGTAATTCTTTTCGTGTCTCAGCAATATAGCTAGGTTAATCTAAATGTGAAGTGTACACCAGCCCTGAATCAAAATGGGTGAGTATGTCTGAGTGTTTTTATGACTAGAGAACTGCACCGACAGCACCGCTCCTGGCTTAAGGCATAAGCACTATCGGTTTTATGTCTAGGACCCCAACACTGGGGGTCAGGAGTGCCTGTTGGCACCTCAGTTTGTTTGAAAGAAAAGCTTTAAACGTCTCTGCTTTGGTTACTTTTGCTTAGCTATGCTGTATGCAGCCACCGTGGCCGCATAGCTGGGAGAGGGGTGAAGTGTCCTCTTTTGTGTCTCACTGAATGGTTAACTGCAGGGCCTATCTGCTTAGGGCCCTCTGCAGCACCGGTCTCAGGGAGGCCTCCACCTTGAGGAGACAGAAGAGTGCAGTGGACCAGGCCTGCTCGGACAGCTGCACCCTGCCTGCTCGGCCCCCCAGGTTCCATGCCTGAGGGGGCGGACAGAGGTTCCCTAGGGTGCCTCTCGGGGGAGGAAGGACGGGATCCTCGGCCACTCGCGGGGGGGGGGGAGCAGAGCCCTAGGAGCCCAGCCGGGCCGAGAGAGCGCCTGACTGAGCTGCCGGCCAGCGCAGAGGCTTGATGCAGCCGTGCATGCCCTCTTCATGCTGTCAGTCTCGGTGTAGTGGACTCCGCCCTCGTCCTCCGAGCATGCGCGCTCGTTTCCACAGCTCAGGGCTCCGCGCCTGCGCACTGCCCAGCGGAGCCGGAGCTCTGTGGTGGCGGCGGCGGCTGGGGGAAATGGCGGCCGTGGTGCTGGTGTCGGTGGAGAGCAGCTCGGGGGTGATGCCGGGCGGGAGCCCGGCTGCGTGTGGGGCTCCCGCGGGTCCCTGTGGGCCGGGTTCGTGGAGCCGGGCCCTGGACCGGGCCCTGGAGGAGGCGGCGGTGAGCGGGGCGCTGAGCCTGAGCGGCAGGAAGCTGCGGGACTATCCGCGGGGCAGCGCCGCCAACCACGACCTGAGCGACACCACGCAGGCCGGTGAGCGCGGGGCCGGGGCCGGGGCCGGGGCCGGGTGAGGGACCGTAACTGCCATCTTCCGCGCGCCACACCCCCGCCCCGCCCTGCCCCCAGCGCCGCCCGGGCGGGGCCCGCGAGCCAGGGCTGCTCGCCCAGCCGCCGGGTCAGTGCGGGGAGCCCGGGGCGCGGGCTGGGCTGGGCTCTGGAGCAGGGGCGCGGCCCGCTCCGGAGTCGCTTCGGAGTAGATGAGCTGCCTTGCCTACTGCAGCCCTTGCGCCGCTCCCCCCCCCGGCCTGACTCTACGCCCTCGAGAGTGGGCGAGTTGGCTTGGAGGAGTCACGAGTATCTTGCCAGCCCGATGAGCTGTCAGGCTCGCCAGGGCTGTTCGGCTTGCTTTTATGTGTCAAGGCGTTGATGTCCCTTTTTAATTGGCTAGACTTAATTTTTTTTTTTATTAAAGCTAATGTTAAAATTATATAACATGCCGATTAAGGAAATCGTGTCTGAACTAAAGTAGCAACAGGTCCTCCGAGCCCCACTGCTGAGTATTGTGGTTTTATAATCTCACGTTGCTTTAAAAAGAAAAAAAAACAACAACTTTTTTTCTACGGCTGTGGGAAAGCTTCACACTGACAAGTGAAACTGACTGCACTGTCAAATGTGTTAAGTGAAGCACCTGTAAAAATCCTTTTTGCTCTGTTCTCTTTCAGTTACAATAATCTTAGATGGAAAAGGAGTACTTGTAGCACCTTAGAGACTAACCAAAAGTGAGCTGTAGCTCACGAAAGCTTATGCTCAAATAAATTGGTTAGTCTCTAAGGTGCCACAAGTCCTCCTTTTCCTTTTGCGAATACAGACTAACAGGGCTGTTACCCTGAAACCAATAATCTTAGATGTTACTTGTAGCCAGAGGCAAAACCTTTTCAGACAAAAATGTTTGTCTTGTACATGTCTTTTTTGGATAAAATAATGAAAATATTGGATGGGAAAGGCATATCAAGGAATATTATGTAAGGAATGCTTATGAAGTTATTACCTGGAATGTAGAACTTGTGTTTTCTTAAAGCATTATACGGGGGAATTTTCCCTACATTTATTTTACTGTCTGGTTGTATAAAGAATATCTCAGCTAATCTTGGAAGGCTTCAGCCATGCTATTAGCCTTCAACTTCAGTTTCTTTTATGTATTCATTTTTGTTCATTGTTGATATTTGAGCTAATCTCTTCCTTGTTTCTCTGTAAAATTAGTTTGTGGTGCCTTGGTTCCAAGGACATTAGCTAAAAATAAACTGTACTGTGTTTTATTTTAAATAACTTCCAAATCTATCAAGTACATTCACAAGTGTATTGGCTGTGTTGACAGGGTGTTAGTTTATTTAAATCTTTCCAAGTGGTTCTTTACATGGTTTAACTTTATAGTCTGTATGCCATATCGTATTTGGGAAAAAATAATTAAGGATAATTACAGATAGTAATAAAAAAGCCATACTGTTCAGGAAAAATCTGGCTTGTTTATTTAATTAATATACCTCAATGGACAGATAAAATGTTCCTTGTTTTATTCATACCATAATAATCTTGTATGGAAGAGTATGTAAATATAATCAGAGAATGAATGCTCAGTTGTCTAGTATGTATGTATAAATGCGACTAATGAATAAGGTTGAAAAATCTGTTAAGGGGTTGTCCTTTTTATTGTTTAAAATGCTGTTCATTTATTGTACTTTTAAAAACAATTATGGGAATTCTTGTTTCCACAAGTGTTCCCATCTATTGTGATTAATATTTGCATTGTAATTGTTCAAGAACCGTAAATGCTAATAAATAGCAACGCACACCATACACTTCATGCATCGTCATAACAATGAGCAATGAAACTTTCTAAATAGTGAATGGAAAGCTGTGTATTTTCTTTTTTCCTGAGTGAGAAGCTGTGCTTAAATCTATTTTGGGAAGGCCACTACAGGTGTCTTCTTCCATTTTTGGTGGAACATATTTTATGATGATTCTTTGTTTTGGATGAGGCTTGAATATGGGAGAAAAATATCATACAGCTGTTCCTAACATCTGAATATCAGTTGTGCACGCAGTATAAATTTATTTCAATTTCTGTCTTTTCCATCTCACATCAATTTCTTTTGGGTGGAAAATCGTACTTAATTCTATTTACAGTCATGTGGAGTCTACTTATATATAGTACTCATAGTTTGCTGGGAGCACCATGTACCTAAAAAAGACAGTTTTGTACCTTGAAGATGTACAGCTAAGGCCCCCAATCCTGAAAAAAACTTACACATGTACTTAACTTTAAGTGCTGTTAGTAGTTCCATTAAAATCAATAAGACTAGACTACTCACATTGTATAAAGATGTGTATGGGCTTGTCTACACAAAAGTTTGAGTTTCACTATACTGAAAGAGATAAAAGCAGTAAACCTGCCTCGTGTGGATGCAGTTATACTGGTATAACTTATTACCATATAGGAAGAGGAATAATCTATACCAGTATAAAGCACCATATCGCTATGACTGCATCCACGCTAGGGGGTCGTACTAGTATAACTATATTGGTTTTAAAAAACTGGACCCCTAACTGACATAGTTATACCATACAAAAACTGTGTATAGACCAGGCCGAATCTTCACGGGTTCAATGGGCTTGACTGCAAGATCTGATATAAGTGAACCTAAAAAAGAAGTTGGGTCAGTAGGGGGAGTCTTAGGATGTAGAGATTACAGCTGTAAGATCAAATTTACTTGGATAGTCAGTGTAAGTCTTGAAATTGGTATTTTTATACTGTAAATGGGAAGAAGTCCTAAAACAAATGTATTTTACTACTGCTATACTTTGTGAAAAGCAAGGTTCTATGAAACCGTGACTCCCTAATTCACTTTTTAAAACCCTGTTGTTTCTCAAGCAATGTTAATCAGAATAGTAGATGCAGTTCGTATAAAACTATGAATTTATTATATTTCCCAATTCTGTACATGGGTTGGGTGAATGTCATAGTGGTTTTATGTTAGTGTAGTAAATGCAGTCATGATTCACACCAAGTCTTGAGCTAAAAAACACCTTGGAAACAGAAGTTAATAAATTTCATTACTGTACCTGCTTTCAAGCAGTTTCAAGATCAGCTGTACTCAGGCAGTTAACATTTTATTTCCTAACATCCAAAAGTAAACCACAAATAAATAATGGATGTGATGGCACAATACTACTTTGGTTAAATTTTCTCACACTGTTTTATGTATTAAACCAATACTTAAGGTAAAGATATTTTGAGACTGCTACCCTACCAGATTGTTTGTTTGTTTTGTAACATTTTAATAACTTTTCCAAAAGAGAAGATGTGCTACCACAGAATAAACATGGGTCCCTTACCGGTAGTTTGATAGGTTTTTGGGGAGTAAATTGAAAGCAGATGTTCCTATTTACTTATAAAGAATAAACACTGAAAATTTTTACACTCTGAGATTCTTAATATACTGTGTAAACACAATAACATATTGTCTTTCAGTGATTGTTCAAGAAGTTTTGTCTTACCTTAGAAGTAATTGCAGGTCATGCCCAAACTACATGTGTAATGACACAAGTAATAAGAAATGTCATTGAGTGTATTATGTTACTAATTTGTAAAGCACCATAATTTTGCATGCCGTTTTCAAAACATAATTTAGCCCATGTGATTGCAATCTCTATCCCAGTGTGTCTTTGCAATTTCACTTGCAAACAGTTGACCAGATATCCAGTAACATCTGTCCAGCGTCAGGGCCACCTTTTAAAATGGTATATCATTAACAAAGTCAGGGAAAATATTTTGGTAATATAAGAAACAGGACTAAAATGTTAGCAAAACACACTTCTATACATTATAAGGTTACATACACTGAGGCGGATTAATGTAATTGGCTTCGTTCTACAGCTGTTCTATAGGGTGTCTTCACAGTAGTTTTATCAGTTGCTGACATTTTAGATGAGATTATCTAATGAAATATAACATGTCTTGAGAAACTCAGTATGGCTCATGTAGTTAAGAAATGTTGGCAAAAATATTTATTCTTAAAGCCACAAAACCAGTGTCATAACCCTACTAAAATTAAATAATTGTTTTAAATAAAACTCCTTTGGGTTATTATATCATGAATATTCATTTCATAATACTGTTCAGTTCAGATGAGCTCAGATTGGGAGGAAGAAGTGCTGGATCTCTACTCAAACTGTGCTCACAATGCTAAGCTTATGAGGGTATAGCTCACCAAATCCGTTCCCTGACATTGCACAGGCGTGGGCATTGGTGCACCGTAGTCTCTCCTGTTCTCTACTTTTGGCAAATGATAGTTTAGTTTCCTGATGGCTGTAATACTTGAGTCTAATTCAGGCAGGGTGGATTGACTTAAATCAAAGCAATCTGAATCAGTGATTCTAAATCACAATGTGGAAAACCTCAATTTAAATAAACAATTTAAATCAGTGTTTCTGTTTGTACTTCCTTTATTTTCTGAAGAAAGGTGGATTCTCATTGGTTGATGTGACCATTAAAACATGCTGATTTAGTAGTAAATCAGCGGTCTTCAATCTGTCGGATGCCCCTCCCCGGGGGTGTGGAGTAAAGTTCTAGGGGTTGTGGCTGGGGCCGGGACCAGCCCCCACAGGGTGCGGAGAGGGAGTACTGCATAGTTTCGCTTCTAGCCCCTGCTGCTGGCTGTGTGCTGGGGGATCTGCTCCCTGCCAGCCCGGGGTCCCGGCTGCGGCTGCAGGCCTCAGCCCCGTGACTGAGGGTCCGCTCCCAGCTGTGGCCCCAGCCTCAGCCCCCTTATCCTGGTCCGCATCCCCCCGCTCCTGGAGCCATGGTCCCACTCCCAGCTCCATAAATGGGGGCACAAGATAAAAAGTTTGGGGACCACTGTATTAAATCCTTTACACTAGATTTGGTGTATCTTTTTGTTACCTTGGAGAGTTCACTATAACTACATACATTTATTTAAGCTATTATATAGCTTAATATTTTCAGGCTTATTAAT